TCTTGATTTTATCCACCCTTACTATCATTAAAATGCGATTTAATTTCAGAATTTCTAGCTGTTGGGAGATAATGGCAAAGATAAAACTGTATGTAATATGCAAAAAGAATGAGATCGATCAGTAGGAAACTCACTTCCTGATCAATATTTCTTTGCAGCAATGTCATTTAATATTTAACACAAGCAGCTGCATAATAACACGATATACAGAGATAATAAAGGTTACTAATACAATATGAAATGGTAACAATATCTCAGACAATGGACACATCATAGCAATCTCTTTTGGGGTGATTGAATGGCCAGCCGTCGGCACTCACTTTCACTGCAAAGACTTATTTGATAGCATTCAAAAGTTACACAATCAATCAATGTCAAGTCTCAGGAATGAATCAACGTGTGTACTGTATTGTTATTTACTGGGAAGCCAAGGTAGGAATACATTCATGGTTAAGCACAGTATTGAGACTTTAAAGGGACCAATGACCATATCTGTATCGACTATGTCTAAGAATTTTTTTTTTTTTTAACATTACCGGTACATTTGCATTGTGTACAAAATTGGTTATTATTTATAGCTTTTTATGTATGAATATTTGTGAATAATTTAATGAAAATTAAGCAATATTGACTACAAAAACACCATTGTTGTTTGTGCAAAAGAACCAAATTTCTATTAATTTATCTTTATGCCAAGATAATAATATTAGTATAAAATGAGTTGCAATGCTGTTAAGGAATAGGTATGTTGTTCCAAAAACACCGACATACATGTACAATTGATCAATAAACACATTTTCTAATATGATTTCAACCCAGGGAAATAACATCCTAAGATTTATGGGGTATATTATATGACCACAATTTTGTTGAACTTTTCAGTGTAAACCCAAATAGCTATTGTGTATAACTAGATTGGTAGCTTTAGGTGTACCCGGTAACTGTTTTTCACAAAGTACTGCACACTGAAATTTCATTATAAAAGTACCCCCTGTTATAGTATGCTCAGTGACACTTCTGTTTGGTATGCCCAATTCCATTCTTTGATCCAAGTCACAATGGATTCACTTCACATAGGTTTTGGGGTGAAAACTGGACTTGAGAAGATAAACATCAGGGCACTTTTTTGCCAAAAATGGCCAAAATTTTTGCTAAAATGGCCATAAATCTTAAAATTAAGGGGTCATAATGATTGACTCAGCAGTGAAAATGCTAAAGTCGTCAACATCAGTGAACAGAAATTGGTGACAGTAAGTGGACTTTTGAGCAGAAGTGTCAATGAGTTTGGCACTAGTGGTTCAAATTAGTTTAGCGACTAGTTAAATAATGTTTTTGATACAGGAATTACATGAACGACTAGTCAAATTTAAACCAATAGATTTTTCCCTCTTATATCACATTATAGCTAAAGAAACAAAAACATGCAACTTTGCATTTGATTTTCCATGGCAACGCATCATAACACTTGACATCATGTTTCGTTTACCATGGAAATGCACTGAAGCATGCACAGATGTGTTTGATTTTGTTGACAGTGAATACAGGTTGATAGTGGGAATTCTGCCGAAGTATAAAGGTGAGGCAACATCCAAATAAATGAACCTACAGTCTACATTTGGGCACAGTGAATATAAAAAAGACAGGATTGTTGACACTGGGGCTTTAGTTGAATTAAATTGAGTTAGAATCACTGAACATCAAAATAAAGCAACATTATAACCAATAATAAGCAATAAGATTGTAGATGATATAATAATATCATCTGATTGATGGATATTTAAACACATAATAAAGTTAAACATTAAAGCTTGAAAAGTAAGTAAGTTCTTTATATATATCAAGATTTTGATTTTCATTTGCAAGTGATGTTTTGTTTACTCATTTTGGGAGCTGATGCTATGAATATGGACAATTTTTTGAAACAATGAACTTATTCAAATATTTTACTTTTATTTGGCCTTTTTCAATGGACATTGCAATAATTTAACAACTGTAAATTTGTACCAGTCTTTAGTGTGTAGCATTTAAATTTTGAAATTTTTCCAAATTGTTTTATAATTTGTTTGGCTTAGTTTTATGACAAAAAAGAAATGCATCCTGTAATAAATACCACACTGACACTTGAGACTAAATCAAATGACTTATGAACTTGTCTGGTGAGAATTTGTAACGCTGAGAACATGAAATAAGTATGGTACACACAACACAACATCATTAATGGCTAGCATGACTTATATCTTCATGTGAAATTGGACTAGCTGGCAGTTAAAGGAACAGGCATATTATCATATATAGTATCATGAAGTACCCCTGGGGTCCTCAAGATGACCTTACACACATTCACATCAATCAACTAAACACAAGTTCTTGTGTTTCGTCAATTATTTTCTGCACAAATCAAGACGAAAGCATAAAGTCTCATTTAATGGTCAGTATTTGTCACCTGTACATGTAGTTATATTGTAATGACCCCCCCCCCCCAATTGACAAGCTCAATGATTTGTTGTCAATAATTATATATTATTCCCTAATATTTTTATTCAGTCAACTGGGGAAAGTATAAGTGACATATGAACAAAAGACGATAATTATCATAAACATGCATTCTCTGGTGTAACAACTAGAATATGTAACAAAATAATTAAACTATAGTAGGCTTTCCACAATAGAAACAATATATCAACAATACTTTAGACAGGGGGCAAAAAACAATCCACAAATGAAAACCGATATTAATATCATTATTATCAAATGCATGAGATGGCAATCCATAAAAATAATCAAATCTTCATATGAAAAAACCACTTTATAATGAAAACCCTTGGGTAGTCACTATACACAGGTTTGACTGTTCACTATCCATGTTTTAATGGTGCCAACTGCACCATTTAATTTGGAGACACAATCAAAATAGTGATTAAAATCTACCATACATAGCAGGTTTTAGAGCATATATTATAAGCAGTGTTTACGCTTACATGAATGACAGGTAAATTGTATATAGTCATATTGATGTAGTATAACTGTGTGCTTTTATTAGAGCAACTATGGTAGTAGTACTTTAACATGTTCTTCTTGTCATGAGACTCTATGGTTGATGTATTTAGGATGGCATAAAATCTATTGCTATTCACCGGGAATTAATGCTTTACTTTACATTACATGCATGGCTGGTTGCCAGTAGTCTTGTTTTCAACAAGCATTAAGTACTTGACAATAGTAATACTGATCATATCACACTGGTTTATTATTTTATTTACTTATCGCTGTTGTAATTAGTGGATTAGTTGTTTGCAATCAAAATCATGTACATTACATGTTGATGCATGCCTCAGATTTTATATCCAATACAGTATTTGTCAGTCGTAATAAAATATTCAATTTTAAACTATGATATGCAATTATGAAAATATTAAATCCCAAAATACTGGCTTTTGTGTCAATGTTGAAATAACAAAACATCTTGTTCTCATTAATTGTTAATATCTTTTATACAGTTTTATTTTGACATGAGGCGATGCTGATAACAAACGAAATGGCAATGATGAGTAGGGATAGAGAATTCAGTAGTTTTATTATTGTATGGTTCAGTAACTCCTATGTATATTATACATAGTCTGTTCTTGGAAAACATTTCTCATGAGAGTTCTATTTTTAGATTTATCGTGTAGTAATATGTTGTTAACTATATGAAATGACCCATTCAAAGGCCATTACATAATTGCTGTTTCGTATGTGAGGTATTGAGCAGGGTTCCATGGTCCAATGACTTAATATTACAGCAGCTCAGAATACAACATAAGGGAAGATTACATGTAAACAATTTTGCAAATGCTTCTAAAATGTGCTGAACATTATTTTGAAAAGCATGTTTACATAAAAAAAGGTTAACGCAGTAAAATCTGTCAGAACAAAAATTAACCTGGAGTAAAGTGAAAACCAACACTGTTCAGTTCATTCAATCTCTATAATGTTGCTTAATAAAAAGACCTCTATCCTATGTCAACTATACAACTGTACAGACTGTTGTTTGTATTTGATTTCTTACATATTAGGAGTACCATGGTCATTACTACCCCATCCAGCCTGTCAAAGACCTAAACAGATTCTACTACCCTTTTGACACAGCAAACAATATAAATGGAGACTGCCTGAAATAATGGTGTACATAAAGATACTAATTCAGAGAGATTGGACCTAGTTTATTGTATAGATATAAACACATTTCAATGAACCGAAGAGTTCATTAGAATTCAGTTTCAACACCCCCCCCCCCAGTTTTGTAACTTTAGCTTCCAAAATTTCATCAATTTTTTACTCTTTGTACAAGAGAACATTGATAAACAAGATTGCTATGTACATAATGAAATGGTTTGATTTTTATATTCAAAATTTAATCTTCTAGCAGCATGACCTTGCAGACTGAGTTTGTTTTTTGTTATTGGTTACAAATATTTTTGGGATTACCTTATTGCATGTGTCAGAATACATATTTTTGTAATAGTGTTATGTGTCACCTGATCACCCAAGTGTATTGCTGTAAAAAGTAGTGCCATTGGTGTAAGTGTAAGTGAAAAGTTAAACGTGTAAGCTCTCTGATTTCTTTGATGTTTTTTGCACAATGATTATTTTATGTGATACTCTATTTTCATTGCAAAGTTCAATAACAAAAGATAAAAACTGTTCACATGATTACTATAATTGAGCAAATATTTAATTTCCAATATACAGGTAAATAAATAATGATAATGATAAATAAAACTGTTCTGAATGAGATTGGAACAAGTCTGATATGCTATGAGAGATGCGCATCATAGAATGATTGATTATGTGTTATAGAGACAGTGAGAACTAATCAACTGTAAAGTCAAGTTCATCAGAGTGGATGTCAAAATGAAACATCAGTGGCATATGCATGTAATCCAATGATGCCATACACAAACTGATTCCCAACAGATGTAACCCAATCATGCATTTACAATGAATATAAGTGTCATTACCTGATTAAGAAGTGAGTAGCCATTCCTTCTCCACATGCCAGCTTGTACTTGAGCCACCATAACCTGGGTACGTAATGACTCCTCAACCATCTCTACTGGAGTCAACGCTTGCTATAAATAAAAAAAATGGAAATATAACTAAGTTTACAAGTTGTTTTGTCATTGTAATGAGAAAAAGAAAGCAGATATATCAGAGTGTAAAGAGTGAGTTAGCCAGCTACAAAACAAACAGCATACTTTCAACAAGCCATTTAGAATGTCAGAACTTCCTAGCTCCTTATGTGACAAGTGAGCAGTCAGCATTTATAATATGCTACCTTTTTGAGCAAGTTCCAGTTCTATACTGTTTAATGAATGTATTGCACTGCTAAACAACACACACGTCTTTATGTTTATGTAAATATCAATGTAAAACAAAACGGCCACAAGTCAGCATCTTGGATTGAATCGGACTGATCAGACTGATAAATTTGATAACATATAAATTTGCATGGACATTCACAAATGTCTGTGTACTAAGAATAGACAAAATGGCTGCCAGTTGACCATCTTGGATAGAATCATGGCACAAATTAACTTGCATCTTTGAGAAACAATACATTGCCTCTGTAACAAATTTGAATGAAAATGCTGACTTTTCAAGAAGTATTTTTGATACAATACAAAATGACCACCAATCACCACATAATCAGTCTACACAAAGACATAACGCTTTTCATACATAAATGTAATTATATAGTCTTGATGAAAATATCTTGCTTGAGGGCACAATTCCTGGACCTAATATCCAACTTTTTCTACTTTCCAGAGAACTTTTCAAATTTTCAAAGCAACTGTCACTAATGTCCATACAAGTTTTAAGGCATCACAGGCAATGTAAACAACTTGCAACAATATTTTTGACTTTTGCAACTTTTTATCCAACTTTCACAAATGTTCATACAACTTCCATGACTTTCCAATCAACTTTTTCGACCTTCCACCAAATATTTTTTACCTTTCATTCAAAATTACAGTCATTAATTTCAAGTTTTAGTACTTGTTATAAGAAAACATTTGACTAAATGTTCTTGTTATCTTGTTCTTGTTAAATTTCTTGTTATCATGTGACTCACCATGTTACTGTTTGCAAATGAGTATGAAATTAAAATTAGCAATTTTATTTGTGCTTCTGATGATATAATGTAGTGGTTTCTACTGTAAAACAAAACAGATATAACATTTTTCCAAATTCTTGTGAAATAGGCACTGGTTTACTGGCACATTTTCATAAACATATACATGTTACAGGTGACCATATATGGTAGTAAAAATGTCAACTCACTGGAGGAAGGAAACCTTCTGAGAAGTAGGAGACTCTGTGCTTCTGGAGGTGAAGATGTAGACCTGTAACAAATTGAGTTATTTGATAAAACCATGCAGTCTTTTTACAATGTAATGATTAACTTATCTGAAAAACAAAATGATGTCAAGGTCCTATAATGTCTAACGTATATACCAATTTTGAACAAAATCCATCTGTAAACAGCCGAAAAATGCTTGATTTTGATGATTTTTAGCACAAAAATGGCTGCCATTCGGCCATCTTGAATCAGATCGTGAAACAAATTGATGTGTATATGTATATTATCATGTATGATGTATGTGTGAAGTTTGATTGTGATTGGTACAGGCATTTCTAAGATACAGGTCCGGACGCATGCACACACACACACACGCATGCACGCACGCACACACGCACGGACACACGAAGGTCAAAACATAAGTCTCCGTTTTCGGACTGCATCCGAACGGGGACTAAAAATTGCATCCAAATTATAGTGGTAAAACTATAATAGTACACATAACAGTAGTCACATTGAGGGCGCTATAACAGTATTAGGTTCTTAATGTGAGCTGTGAGGGCGCTAGTTAAATAAACTTTTAATGTACAGATATGTATTCAAAAAAGCATAAATGAATGATTTTTAAAGTTGAATTTGTATCTTGTTGTGGTATTGAATGATCACATTAAAAAAAAATTAAAATTGCATCACCACATCATTTTTTAATTTTTTAATCATGAAACAATACAGAAATTTAAAAAGAAAATATTGCCCCATGTTTCATTCAATGAAGTGATTTATTCAGATGATTGATACTGACACTGAGTGAGCCATGGTACTGACCTGCTAGGAACCTTGTCAATGGTAGATGTACACTCACAGGTTGACTGGAGACATCATAAGACATGCAGCTACACTCATAGTTGGCAACTACCAAAATAAAACATACACAATCAATGAACATATTCAAAGATAAGTAGCAAACCTACTGGCATGACATATGATACTGGTTACTGTGAAGATGTCAGGCACTTATAATGGTGGTACCAAATACTACTCCTTGGTTCGTCTCTATTGTTCAAACAGTTCACTAACCCTTCAATAGTGGACAGTTTTACTAGGAATATACTCTTTTTTTCATTCAAAACAGTACTTGTTTAGTAGTTTCCTTGTTCACAACTGATCATACGCATACCGTTGATCGCATAAACTCTTCTCTCACCAAAACCACAGTGCATACATGTATTTCAATATTCTGTGACACTACTCTGTCCATATAATGTTGCAATTTGTTTACTACAAAGGGCAGCACATTATGACAATGGTGCTTCTTTGTACCTCTGTAAAATAATAATTATTGGCAGCAATACACACCTTTTCTCTTGATTGCTGATGCAAAAGGGCCACTTATCTGCCTCAACATTTTCATAGTTTCCCGATAAACTTCAACTAGAACAGATCTCTGTAAAACATGTAAACGCAGATTAGTGTTATCAACAAAGAATGGAAACTAATGGGGATACAATTTGCTTTTGATTACTGTGTTACACCTACATCACTATAGTGAATGAGGAGGATTCTAAGATAGTGTGAGACATACAGGCTCATCCGATATGGCACTGCGGGAGTTCATTAATGTTATTATGACATACCAACAGTATTTGTTAGGTGCTTAATTTGTTTTATGACCAAGATTCAACAGTTGCGTCAACTAGTGCATATCATAGAACATTTAAGGCCCTGGATCATGCATAAGCATATCGCCCTATGCTGAAACATTCAGTTGACACAAACATAAACAAATATTTAAAGTTGTAAAAGGCTTTGTTTATTTTTACACCACAAACACCATTAATGTTCTGAATTTAATGTCATAATATTACGTAGATGCAGGGTCAATGAAATGCAATATAGTAATTCTTTGTTGTCTGATAGAGTATAGCACTAACATAATGCAATGTCCAAATATGGATAATGGTATATAAGAGTAGACATCGACATGAGCTTAACAGCTGCAAAAATATATACAATTCTTCAATATTGTTTGGAAACAAGTGACATAAGAGCCGTATCACTATGAGTCGAAGAAAAATATACTAAAAAAGCTGTATTTTCTGTTCAACAAGCATAACTTGTGCATATGACAATTCATCTTGTACAAATAATGCACAAACACTAATAACCTTACAAATACATGTAGTACTAAATACTTCATCAACAATCTCTTCAATCCAATTCAATTCAATTCAATTGTGGATATTCCGCTCACTGCAAGACCCCGTGAGATACCCTGACCCTTACGTTTATATGATGGATGATGTCGACAAACACACAGTGCCACGGCCCAAGAGCCTTCTCCTTTTACGTAAATTTGGTGTTTCAACACCAAATTCTACACCCCTTTCAGTGGCTGGTATTGGGTCTAGATGTGACGATGTCGGAACATTGCCTCCGATAAAGTGCATGCTCGGCTAAGCGCCCATCCCCTTTAAAATGCTTTTAATATGACTGTCTAATCACAAAACCTTGTCTTTGATCATTGCTTAAGGAATACTGGTAATCGCTTTTATATGATACAGCATGAATAACAAAACTACACTTCGATAATGACCTGTTAATAAAAGTGAAATGCGGCAAATACTTGTGCCATATTCAGTTTACCTATCAAAAATTGCTAGTTACTAGTTTTTGAGAAAATCGTACTTCGACATTGATAATTCACTTTCGCACTGCGTTACCAGAAAGTCTTGGGGAAATTCCAAAGAATTACAGCATTCTGATTTGTTAATAACAGACTTGACCCATTAGATCAAATCGTGCAAGAATATGTCATGGCAGAAAGTGTTTTTCATCGAGACTTTGCGTACGATCCAAAACATTTGACAATGAAGATAATGATGAAGATTTTGACTTCAAATGTGTTCCAATATTTTTAACCTCGTAAATTCGGGTGGTACGTATTTAATATTGTAATAAAATGTGCATATTTTTTGTGACCATTTCTGTTTCTTCATTCAATAACAACGATATTAATTTCATAAATTTATTTTCCTCAAAGACATAATATCTCCCCAATCTGCTCCCCAATCGCTCTTGCATTCACTGTATGAGCGTTTTTGTACAGTCGATATTGTTGTGTGAACGGGATATGGTGGAGTAAACAATGGCGCTACCACCGTCTCTGGGGGAAAGCTTGACCTGTGTCACGTGATTGAAGCTGATTGCCAAGGACGTAAAGCAGAATATGGCTTATTCAATTCAATTCAACACTTAAAAATAAGGAATAACTTTTCATCAACTTTTGCAACAAAAGGTCCAGAAATCAAGGTCCTTTCGGAATCCACAAGAAAGTATCAGCATGTGAGATTTTCAATTCATCATAGCAAATCAAATCAAAAGTCTCCAATTCAAACAAATGGAACTACATGCATTGACCATACCATATATCAAATGTGCTACTAATGCATAACCTGGAACATTTATTACAGGCAAAAGTAAAATCTGTATTAGAAGCGGCACATTCTTTCTCAATAACCAAAAGTCACCATTTATCATATTTTTAGACGCTCCAATAGAAGCTATATGGCTCTGTTGCATTGTACCATTTTAATAGAAGATGTGGTTTTAGATTTTAGTACTGGAATGTCAAGCTATGTATACAAAAAGGTCTCTTTAGCATATACATGTATATGGTTTCTCATCAGAACCAGACACTATTATTACACTGATAAATAACAGACATACTCACATCTGATCCGCACCAATCTATCACCATAGAAATAATAGATCCAATTTTAGCCTGTAAATTAAACACGTTTTCCCAATCTGGTTCAACTTCAATATGCTGTCCAACCTGCCTGGTAACAGAATCCACCCCCTAGGAGAAACAAACACAGATTGTAAGTCATCAATGACCAATGCATGGTGATCACTCACAATATATTTTTAATATAAATTATCAATATGTGTTGAGTATATTCTCTTGCAGTAAAACGAGAAAGGCCAAACTCAAGCTCTTATGGCGCACATGATGATTTTCAGTGACCTCTTGCTAAGTCGCACCTCGGTAAGTCACGATTTTGACAGGTAGTTGGATGGCTCCCATAAATTTTATTGTGTTTTGGCGACAGTTCTGAAGTAAAAGAAGTAATGTTTCGTGTATTGTGTATTCAACTAGCCATTAATGAGACAACTTAACACCAACTGTTCATCAATTACTGAGATACTCAAGGTGTCAACAGGGTGCTGAGTCGCAACTTTATGTACTTGTCCACCATACCCCCTTTGATATAGCTCTATAAAACTCACTACAATGAGTTGAATTCATCACTCTGATCCCTAGTTCTCAACTGAGCAGCATGTCTAAGCGAAAGCTATCCAGTCTGTCTGACTGTACGTAATAAACTTGCAGTGATCAACTGTGTCAAGAAAGGTGAAACCAAGAGTTGCACGAGATCTAGCAGTCAGTGAGCCCACTATTCGAAAATTTGTTTTCAAAGCCGTGATAAGTCACGGTTTTTGCTTGGATCCCGACCGCCACGACTTAGCAAGGGGCCACTGTAATTAGATTACACCACACAGTCTACGTGATACAAGACAATAATGAAAATACCGTACTCGACCGTGTTAGCGCCCAGGTGCCTCAACTCAGAAAATCACGATTTTTTAGGGGTGGGCGCTTACCCGAGCACCCCACTTGAAAAAGAGTGCAAATGAAAATTTGTATTCATCAAGTGACAGATTACGTCTTTGAGGGAAAATCAAATTACTAAATTAGTTGCGTCGTCATTGATTTTCACAATGAAGAAACAGAATTGATCACAAAAAATACGCACATTTTATTACAAAAATAATTACGTACCACCATAATTTATGGAATTAAAAACATTTGAGTCTGTTGGAACACAGTCGAAGTCAAAATTGTCATATTATTTCCACTGATGAAGTTGTTGGATCGTATGCAAACTCTCGATGAAAATCACTTTCCACTATGATGCATTTGCAGATTTTACCTGTACAGCAGCGTCCTTTGACCTAATGGGTCAAGTTGGTTATTAACTAATCAGAATGCTGTATTTGACTGACGCAATTCTTCGGAAATTCCCGAAGACTTTCCGGTAACGCAATGTGGAAGTGAATAATAGATGTAGAAGTACGATCTGTTGGAACTGATTTCAGCGAATAAACGACATGGTTTTTCAAACAACTAGTAACTAGCCATTTTTGAGAGATAAACTGAATATGGCATGAAATATTTATCGCATTTTACTTGTATTAACAGGTCATTGTCGAAGCGTAGTTTATGCACAGTTACCGTGTTCTACGCATTCACAACCTGTTCACAACGATCGATATCTACGCTGTATCATATACAAACGATTACCAAGATTCGTTACGCAAGACCAAGTTTTAAATTAGTTGCATTTTGAAGGGGTGGGCGCTTTGCCGAATGTGACCCCAAATATAAAAATTGCACAAAAGTGGGGGGTGGGCGCTTGCCCGGGCATGGGTGCTAACACGGTCGAGTACGGTAGTTACATAGCCTTTATATTTTATTTTATGAAGGTTGCAAAATCAGCTGAAAAAGCCTTACCTGCATAGCTGCAAGTAATTCCAATAAAACACACACTCCTTCAACAAACTTTTTGCGTAACTTTGGTTCCCATTCATCTGGCTTGGAAGACAGTATATACCTGTAAACATTACCAAAAGTTTAGACTAAGACCAGCATGTTTTCAATTAACTGCTTCATCTATGCATATATTAGGACATTCTTTTTTATTGTTTTAACTCCTACATGTAGTTTAAAACTGCTTATTTCGGGTCAAGCCAAATTTTACATTTTATTGCAGTCTGCATTTTTTCTTATATTCTACAATATTTCTTGAAATAAACCCTAATTTTGGAGCCAACAGACAAAATTTTAGTAAATTTCCAGTTTTTAGTCAAAAAATTTGGCTATTTTTGTCCCAATCTTGTTAAGGAAAGTGCAGACTATAAAAGGACTATTTTGTGAATTTGTGATTAAAAGCAGGAACTGATGGTGAAAAGGTTAACAGCATTTGATATCTATATTGCCACTACTTGATATATAGGGGGTATACTGCAATTAAAGAATGTTTGTCGTTTCCGTCTTTGACTTGTGAAATTTGTTTCTCACACAATTTCAATGATTACAGTATTTATGTTAGGGTTCATAATAAAAATTATGTTTGAGAAAGATGTCTGAACCAAAAAACAGTAAAAAGGAATAACAAGCAGCCTCTCAGCTGAGATAGCGCCGCTGTTAGCGATGCACATTTCAATTAAGAACTGAAGATACCAATAGAAAATGAACAAATCTAAGAGAGGTCTACCTGAGGTCCCTATATGTATAGTAAGAAAGTAATCAGAATTGTTGTTTTCATCAAAATTAGGAAATTGAAGATATCATAATGAAATGAACAAATCTGAGAGAGGTCTACCTGTAGTACCTACATGTATAACATTAAAGCAATAAGATTCGCAGTTTTTAACAAGTCGTCGAAAATATCACTTTTTACCAAAAATGACAAAAATATTCATCAAAATGAACAAATCTGAGAGAGGTTCACATGTAGTACCTATATATGTAATATCAAAGCAATCAGATTTGTGGTTTTTAAAAGAAGTTGAAAATATTCATCAAAATTAGAGAATTGAAGATATCATCATGAAATGAACAAATCTGAGAGAGGTTTGCCCAATGTACATATACACCAAGTATCAAAGCATTCAAGCTTGTAGTTTTCAGGAAGAAGTCGAAAAAGTAAAACATTGACATTGATGACGATGACGGATGAGCTCCGCTTGACAAAGTCACCAACGAAGCTAAAAAGTTGACTCAGACGATGACGGACAATTACTCATATGATAAGCCCCGCTCGACAAAGTCAAAAGCAGAGCTAAAAAAGGGGTAACCGTAATATTTGTTACTAAATTCACACTTTTCTTTGTTTACTTTGGACAGAAGTGCTATCAGTGCATTATGAAAATGGATTTCCATTACTGCCCAAACGTACATACAGTGTACATTCGTTGCAATTTTTATCTCTCATTAAATTATTGCTATAAGCAAGGACTTAAATGAACTGTCAATATAGTGCCAAGGTGTTAGCCACGCTAGCTAAGATAATCACACGTTTAGCTTAAAAACAATCAAGCACTGGCGCCGATGATCTTTCCTGTCTTGGCATTGGCTTGAAATTGTCTATACCAATAAACAAGCTGGTTGCTATACAGCTGGTAGTGAGGGGAAAGATTACATTGCTTAATCTGCCACTAAAGGTTACGTAACAAAAGATGACACATTTAAAACTGTATTAAACATAAATACATAACAAAAATATAATATAAGGTTATAATGAGAACACTGCAAAAAGAATACCACTACACGTTGGTCAATATGATCACTAAACTTCTTTTAAGCATACTTCATGATATTTTCATAATAACCTCATAGCTAAAGTAAAAGTAAAAGCACTGATGAAAGACAAATGATGAAATTCAGCAAAATCTGAACCAAATTGTTATTTGTATGGAAACCCCAATTAAATGCTTGCGCAAATTAATATAATTTAGAAAAGTCTAAATACCTGAGATCAACTGAAGTAAATAACATTCTAATAGAATGCTTCTGCAATGATGTTCTATCGATGCGTAGTTTACTTTCACCTGAAAACAAACATTCCAGATTTCTCATATCGTAATTTATGTCACAATTGACAAATACAGTTGGTATTTTAATGAGTCACCAAGCAATTACTGGCAGTTTTATGTATGAGAATTAGTTTCACATACCTTCTTTACATGTAGCTGCATATTTGATAAATGTACGCAGTACAATGGAAAATAGGTCATGCTCTACAATTAGCATTCGAGACTGCAATGATTAAAATAAGAGAAATTAGAAGACTTTAAAAATCCACTTGTTTCCTAATTTATGTACTCATTCATCCATGTACAGGTGTAATTATCAATTTTGAGAAAAAAAGGCAAAAATGAATTGCACAGCACAGCATGTATAGATGACACATTGTTTGTTTGAAATACAGTCCCATCATTTTTTGAATGTGAGCCATGACACAGATGTTGAAATTTGCTTGCAAAAAGCATGTACATAAAATAATAATATTTGTCACAGACCCATAGATCATGATTGCTTAAAGTTATGTGATAACATAAAACTATTTGGGGTAGGTTGAAAAGTGACACATAAGAACTAAACCTAACTTACCAGTGTCGGTACAGTAAACATTTGAACTGACAGCGAAGTGACAGAGACCCCATGGTCATGATCATCTTCTATGAAATCACTTTGTAAATCAGAGTAAACCTGGAAAAACAATTGTTTTCAAATAATTGATTTGAATTACTGAAACAGAAAATAAACATTTCACCATTCTACTGTATGTAGCACACTTCACCTGTATGAACAATGCGTGGCGTACAGGTTTCAAAACTTACATGCGCGATATCAAGTAGCAAAGCCTTTTGAGTAGGGCTAACTGCACTGTCACAGACAACAGTGCATTAAGCTTACCTTGGTATATAGAATAGCAAACTTCTTTTTGAATTCCTGATTCATCAATAAACTACTCATTATCACTTGGTGCCAAGCTACACGAGCAGCTACACAAAATATATAAAAACATTATTATAGTATACTTAAAGATATGGGTATGCAACCTTCATAACCAAAGATGACATTGCATGCAAGTGCTATGGGTACTACAATCCAAGTTATTCTGACAAATAGTATTACAGAACACCAATTGGTAATCACTCTACAAGGACATAATTGTTTCTTCAAATTGTCGACTGTACATTTATGTCTTTTGGCTACTGATCACAGAGAGTGGCAATATTACCTTTCCATAGCTTTGTATCCATCAACATAACATGTTCAATTAACACCTTGTCTGTGTCTTTAAACATTTTCATACATTCTATACACAACAACTGTTGCAAACCATCTGTGAAATGAAGATAACATTAGAATATTTACATACAGGCAAATTTTTCTTCAAAAGAACAAAATGACACACATTTTATAGCACTGAAATAATGTTAAAATGACATAGAAGTGAACGTCCTTCTTTCATTCCGATCGTGTTTCTTATTATAGGACAGCCATGTGGTAATACTAATGGATTAGGAAGTCACATACTTCATACAGATAAACAAGCATAGAAACTGACCTGAATGTACAATGACTTCTGTCAGCCATGCTAAGAGCTTCATGGCAAACGTCTGATGTGCAACGACTGACATATGCATGACATGGACTTTCAAGGCTGCATTCCCATGCCTAGATGTATTGCGCTGAATCGTACTGCGAGCATGTTCACAGATGCGAAATTTTCCCTCCACAACGCTATTCCGTCCCTAGTGGGAAAAACAAAACACATACATGTAACATGAGAGTGTTTGCTCACAGTTTCATTCCCTCACTCAGAAATTCCTCTCTTCATGAACCTGTATGGTAACTATTCGTGAGCCTGTATATTTCTCTAATACAACTGCAGTGGGGCAACTGTCATAGTAGTGCCATGACTATGGGATGCTTACCTCTCTGTCTACTATAGTAGCAAATTCTACAGCATCTTTATGTGTGCAATCCACAGCCTTCTTCAAATTATCAATAACCTGAAAATTAACAATATACTATAATTGTCATCACCAATAAATTAAACACATCCTCTATAATGTAGATCACACCATACTCACTGGATGCGAAATCTATAGTATAGAGTGTCCTATTGTGTCTTATTTAGCAACTATCAATGTCAGCAGAAAAGCAGACATGTATAAGTGTGATTGTTAAAACTTACCTCCGCATATGAATGAGTTTCATCATTGAACAACATGGTGCAATAAATATCATCCAAAGTACTGCAATCAAACAATGTATTGTATCAGAGAATTACACAATCCCAAACCCCTCTATAAATAATATTAATCTCACAGTCTATTCTTCATAATAAATGAAAGTCATGAGGGGTTGTTGAAAGTACACCAATATGAAATAAGGCACATTTTGTCAAAAATTTATAGAAAAATACATCAAAATATCTACTAATATAATGCTCCAAAATGTTGGCAAAAAAATAAGGCACCAAAAAGATTAAAATTAAAAAAAAAAATTTTATATTATAAGCTTCACTAAGAAACAATTTTTCACAGCAAATTGATGGGTTATGATTTAGCATGATTCCAAAGTAAATGAAACCATTGGCATTGAGCAAACAATACATTGACATTACAATCTGTGTTGCCCATTACAATATATTTATTATGAAATACAGATCATTTATGTACCATTATTCCAATGTATCTAATACTATATTTATAAATACTTTACATAACGCTGTATATGATGTAAAAAATAGATAACACATATGGTATTGTATGAACATTTATTTAACCTTCATAGGCATAGTCTAAATGTAATCAGAAACATGTCAGTTTTCTATATTTTTTGCGAGAAATTATGTGTGTGTTATGTAATAATTTAAAATAGGGCAAAAGTAATTTCCAAAATACAAGTCACAATTGACATGGTATATCGGTGTTGATGTTCTACCTGTTCTTATGTCATAAAACACCAATTCGTGTTGAATGCTTATGCAGTCACATTTAGCATGCACACTGCATTCAAAGTATGAGGCTTTGAACTAATTTATGAACTAATACAAGGAACCACAGTTTTTATTACAGCAATTCCAGGCACTGATTTGACACTGAAGTAGTGCTAGATGTTGATAACTTACTACAATAGGTTACACACTTTGTTTTCAAATTTACATAAGTTGTAACTAGAGATATGAACATCGGCTGCAAATCAGAGGAATGATTGACAAATATTGCCCACAATGTTTTCTATTTTTGCTACAAAGTCAGGTACACTTAGACTTTTGTCTTCAGTCACTTTTAGTCAGTCATCGTGTTGATTGCGTGTCTACAAATCGGCATTTGTCCAAGTTGTTTAAGCACCACGATGGAGAAGCAATGAGTCAAAAAAACAGTTGAAGTGAGAACAAGAGTTGTCGATTTGTATTTTCGTGGACTGTCATTTGCTGAGATTGGAGATCGAAATGGTGTTTCAAAGCAGACAGCTTATAATATCATCAAACGATTTGTTACCACCAAGAGTATCCGGCCAGGAAAGCGTAAGAGCGACCAATCTGCGACTAAAAAAATAACTGACAACATTATAGACTATGTTAAATATTATAAAACACTGCGACCACGCATTTACGGTCAGGAAATTCAACAAAAACTACTTGTGTATGTACAGTGGCAACCCTCCCCGGACGTGTGATCGTGTGTTGCCTGTGATAAGCTTTTTAAAGTGATTATTTGGTGGCACATCAACCTTTTGGTTATCATCGTTGAGAACTAATAATCGAATAACAAACATTCTACTTAAGTATTCAATTTCATTATTGATATACTGGATGAAGTCTTCATAGGACATTTGTTGCAGGCAGCTTTCAGTTATATACATCGACGTGATACTGATATTTCAAAAGTAGGAATAATGCACTTTGATCAATAATTCTGTCATAATAAGTCGGTCAGCTGGTTCTGTAAAATAACTCTACGGGTAACCAACGTTCTTTACAGTGCCACCACTTTATGCGCCCCTCTTATTGAAATAACATGTGACGCAAATTGAAGTATGAAACTAAGTTGAGAGCCTTGATCGTTTATTGGAGGAGAAATTCAAAACTAATGTACCGTGCACTTTTATGGGCAGAGCTTTCTTCCGGTGTGCTTCAAATTGCAGACATGATGTCAGCATTATTTTGTAACAACTTTTGTAAATGTGAAAACAAAGTGTGTAACCTATTGTAGTAAGTTATCAACATCTAGCACTACTTCAGCATCAAATCAGTGCCTGGAATTGCTGTAAGACTTGCAGACAGAGTACTTTAAATAACTTTACCTTGGTTGTAATCCACTAGGCAATGTGTCACATTGTTCCCATGACAACAAGTCACAAGCATAATTCAACACTATCTCAAATAGTAAGGCAGTTTTTAATTTCATCTCACTGGGCAATCTCTCCATTGGATTCTGGAAGAAAGAGAATGTCAGTAATGTGCAGTGAACATACTGACATATAATTTGCTGTACTTGGTGAAAAAGAAATCACAGACTAAAATAACAAATATATTCACATATATTCTCCTACTTGTACCTGTGCAGGTTGATCAGGTGCTTGACTGTGCATTTCACAAGAATGATGTTGTTTCCAGGCTTCTTCATCACCACAATCACAAAACCCACCACCCCCTGATGTACTCATCTAGAGAAATAAATAGCAAAGAGAATAAAATTTAAGCCACAGTCTCAGTTTATAATTGTAAAATCAGCCGACCATAGCTTGTTTACTAGCAATTGCTTTTAACTTGTTCAAAGTTGGAAGTCCAAATACGTGGGATATATATAGACAGCAGATATCAACAAGCCACAATTCAGTTCACAATTTCTTACACACTACTTTTAAAAGAAAGTGTTTTCATATCAGAACTTTAATGTCAATATTATAATGTATTACAAACACACCAGACATACAAACATTGTTGCTTTTAGTGTACTGACTGAATTAAATATTTAATATCAGCTTTAGAATACTTGTTTACATGATGTGTTAACATAATTGGATTTATAAAGAAATAAGCTAGTATAATATGTACCACCAAGTTACTGTAGGATACAGCATACACTATTGTGTTTAGATTGATATTAGAGTGTGACACTGACTTACCCGATATCTGTGTAATTTATGGGCACTTTTCTGAAAGCAATCAATGCAAAAGACGCAAGTTGGATCAGCCGCACAATCCCTGTGAGAAATAAACAATAAGGTAAATTACATTGTCACAATTTGTGAATATATCAAGTTTACTTTACTAAGTAATGCATGCACTTAGGTGAAGGAAAAAGGAAGGCTTTTAGCCAGCCACCTGTCTACATGTACCTGTTATTTAGACGTACAGGCTTTCCACATTTCAGAAAGGCCAAATTTCTACAAACCTGTCCACTTTGGGTTGAAAATTTCTTATAATTCACAAAATAACCATAAATATTGAAGAAAAAATACATGTATCTGTGGCTACCTGCGATTACTATTTTTCATTTTAATATATTTTTTAGACAGACATTTTCTGGTTATGACCCTAGAGGTCTCTCTATTGTCATATTTTATTAATCCAGTAAATTATAAACTGTTAATTGGTTTACATGTGCTACATTTAGAGATAATATTCAAATAGAACAAATACTTCCCAAAAAATTGAGCCAGTGTATTGAATACTGAAGAACAGTAATTATCCAAACACCCACCTTAAAAATAACAAGACATGAAATGTCACAGTCCCCGTTATTTGATTATAAAATTGTACAAGGAACATCTGCAAACAGGTGAATAAATATGTACTCTTTGTGGTTACAACTCATCATAAAGTGATTTCCGATGATCTAGTTTTGTATTGACAACTAAAAACTTCCACTGACCCATGTTCAGAATCTCAGAGTACACAAGTGCAACAAAACTATTTGTCATACATGTATACTTGCTCAAGAAACTGCATTCATAAATCTGAGTGAACCTTGATGTACATGACTTCTTTGTTAATCAGGTCTTAGTAAATTACCAGGACCTGGGTTTGTTTCAACATCACCACTGGGCATCAGAATCATTCTCATGTTGTCAAATACAATTTGTTATTAACACAGTAAGGTTTATTATTTAAAATGTATTCATTGTACATAGAACAACATCTGTTAATTTAAACAATTGTAAAAGCTATGTTTTCAGAGCAAGTAAAGGTTGGTCTGCTCATAACCTTCAATGGAGAAGTAACAATAATTGTTTGAAGTATTTTTAGTGCAGCGATATTATTGCATTTCA